CTAGTGATTTAACAATTTAACAAAAAATATTTTTACTATAGTAAGCGTTTAATCTCCCTCCCACCCCCTTCCTCCTCCCTCAAGCCACTTACCCTAATAAAAAAAAGCAAATAAAAATATATTTTTAAAGAGTTTGATTAAATTGTGTTTTAAGTAACATATTATGTATAATTTTATTTTTAATATATAGTAAAAAAAAAAAAAAAAGTTGACCAATCCAAGCGAGAAGGCGAGAAGGTGATTTTACTGGAGAAAGTGAATCTTTGAAAATGATTACATCAGAAGGTCAGATTTAAGTCAGCAGTCAGCCGCATAATTGACTGTCATTAATAATTACTTAGTAAATTGAAATTTTGCTTTTTCTCTGACCAAATTTTTGCTGCACCATCTTTTCTTTTCTCCTATAAATTTATTTTAAAAAGCTCTGAATTTTTGCCCCTGCAAATCATATGATTTTGGACTTAATTTGGAAAGAGTTATTTAAAATTTAAAAAAAATATATATTTTTTATAATTTAAATTACATAAAAATATAAAATGAGATGGACCTCTCAGTTCATATTTTTGTTATGCGGTAGATTCGTATAACAAAATTGAGAATTTTTTTTTGAATTTTTATCAAGTTTGATAAAATAATAGTAGTGATCAATAATAGATTTATTTTATTTTTATGAATAAAGATATATTTATATATAAATTTTATATATTATATTTATATAAAATTTAAAACATTTATATTTATGAAAAATAATTATATTTTTTTATCTAAAAAATCATAATAAAGTAAAAAAATAAATTATTAAAATTTTATGTAAGTGTAATATATAAAATTTATGTATAAATAAATTCTCTTTTATTTTTATATTAACAATTTAAGTGTAATTTATGTTTTTACCCATATTACCCTTAAAAGATTAAGACAAAGAGATATTTTTTATAATAGAATAAATAATTAAAATTAAAAGATTGTGATAAAATTAAAATAAATTTTAAAAAAATAAAAAACCTTGTAACAAATAGAGTAATAATTATTATTTTACAATTTCATTTTGTTCACTTTTAATTTTAGACTCATTTAAAATCATTGAAAACTTCTACTGTAGTAGGATACCAGAAAAAAAAAAAGAGTTTAAATTTTTTAAAAAAAATCAGAAAATAAAATGAAATTTCAAGTTGATGATATAGGAAAGGATAGAAAAATGGGTTTTTGTAAGGGGCTGAATTTGCAAAGGGAGAAAAAATATGTTAAATAAATTGCCTGTTTAGTGTAAGGCTATAAGCACAGGGTAAATAAACAGATTGGTTTTGATTAGATTACCATGAAAATTTAGAAATGTATCTATAATTTCCTTTGATAACAGTCCTTGCCTTTTTAGGACTAATTTTCCTTTTATGCTTAAATTCTTAGTTTTTTTTTTCTTAAATATCTTAAGCCCATGGGTTAAGCTTGAGGCCCCTTATCATTGAGCATACTAAATTTATTTATTTTGAATGGGTTGAAATTATTCATATATATTAACGAGAAAAGGAAAAAGAAGATTTGTGAGGTTCAAATACGTCATTCATATGAGGTAAATGATCAATTCTATGTGGTAAATGATCAGTTCTATGTTACTGAATTGGAACAAATTGTTTACTAAGTCAGAGCGGCCTATTCGAGCACACTAAACTTATTTTATTACAACTAAATACAGAGAAATATATACATGAACAACCTGCCATCTGCATTATGTAGAATGGAGTTGTTGAGATGTTTGAATTTAAGGTTATTTTAAAATTGTTAATAATTTAAGTAACTTAAGAATACTTATTTTTTAAAATAAAAGTAAATTTTTTTTTAAAAAAATGTAAACTTTTAAACTTAAAATTTCTTAGATGTATACATATAAACACACATGCATTTGACATTTGATGAATATGGGGTGAGTGTATTTTGTATTTAATATTTCAATAAAAAGCAGTACTCTTTTATTTTTTAATTTATTTTACTTTCAATGTTATATATCTTAAATT